TCCCAGGTGAGACTTGAGGAGAACAAAACTTTGGTCTTCACTGTGGACACGCTACCAGGTGCTCCAAAGCCATGGTCTCTCCTCAGGTGGGTCCTGAGGAGAACAAAGCTCTGCTTCTAATCCTAATCCCGTCCCTAGACTTTGACCCTGACCCTAAACCCTGATCCATACCCTGGTCTATAATTCTGACCCTGACTTTGACCCTGACTTTGATCTTGACCCTGACCATGACCCCACCTCTAACCATACTTCCAGCCCTGACCCTGACCCAGACCCCAATTCTAACCCTATTATTATCACTACAGTCTATCTCTAATCTTACCCTCTAGTGCTAAACAGCTGTACCCAAAAGCACTTTCTGATTATTTAACTTCTTTTCCTTGAATTCTCTAAGGACATCTGAAAGGAGATGTTATTATGTATTCTGCAGTCCCTCTGAGTGGTATGGCTTCAGATAAGAAGTTCTAATACTTTGCAAGACAGAAGAAGTGTGAAGGGCAGCAGCATTGGGTTGTCAGGAATGCATGCTGGCATTCACAATAGTCACTGGCGTTATTCTCCACATATTTTCAGTTCATTTTTTATGAACACATTCTGACTGTTTCATCCCCCTAATTAAATTTTTTGCATGGCCACATGACTTCTTTTTTTTTTTTTTTTTTTTGCCATTGCAGGTGAGAAGAAATAATATGTGACTTTTTCAGGAGAAATCTCCAAGAAACAGAGTTCTATCCAGCATGCCTTTTGTCTTTTCTAGAGCAATGGGGATCTTATTGATGGTACCTCCTTCTGCCTCTCTTCCTGTGTTAGGATGACACAGCACAGAGCGACCTCTCACCTGACCCATGATGAGATGCAAAGAAATGAGGAAGAAGATTTTTGAGCCACTGAAACTTGGAGGCTGTTTGTCACCGTGCTTTAACCTGGCCCCCACTGACTGATGCAGGGCTGAAGAATGAGTCAGAACTGGGTCTGGACATGTGAAGTGCACTCCTCCAGGCTAAGTAAAATTCAAGTCTTGTTGCAAAGGTTAACAGTGAGCACGATGTGTTGTTAGGGTGAGTGTGGGATACATAAGGTATGTCAAGCGAGAATAATGAGAAACTCAACTTAAAAGACAGTGCTAATTTGGACTGTGGAGAGATTCCAATGTCCTACTTAGCATTTGAGACTGTGATGGCTGAACAAACTCATTAAGAACCCTAAATGAAGGCTTGGGATAAATATCTGAGGGTGTCTAATATACCAATTATTCATCCTAGAATGGGCAGAGTCCTTGACCCCATTCTAGGGAGACTTCCAAAAGAAAAAAGACCTGCATTTCTCCAACAACCCACATCGAGAGACTTTCCTGCACTTCTGAGCTGTGGATAACACTCCTCACCTTTCATTCTGTCCTCAGTGTTTTGGGGAAACACCTTTACCTCTCTATGACTTACAGGTTAATAAGTGGCCCTTATAATTCCCTCCAGAGATAGAAAAGACTAATGATGAGGGAGTCTGAGCTCACAGCAGCAAGCAGGCATGTGTGCTCTGCAGCCACGTGGCTCATCTGCTAGATTACTACATATGATGTTCTGCAACGTTGCTTAACACAACGGGACTCTCCCAACTCAGAAGGTTTAATTGCTCACCTACTTCTTTTTCTGCCATCTTGGGCTCCTAAAATGAAAAGAACTCTGGGGTGATACAGTGAGTCAAAGGAGTGCCAACCGTATCACAGCAAAATAAAGATCCCTAAAAAATCCCTGGCCTAAGATGACAGCCTCGTCTGGGTAAGTCTGAATGTGCTGACTGGACATGGGAGCATGAGGGTGGTCAAAATGTTCGCATTAAAGAACTTCCACACAGACTACAAGAAAAGAGGGAGGAATGGAGATGGCAGCACGAGTCCCTACAATAAAAGCAGACGTTTTGAGATCAGTTATATTCTTTCCGCAAAAATTCGAGACAGAAACCAAAGTTTAGCCTGAGGCGACAATTAACTGGGCAATAAGCCAGAGGAACATGTGGCATAGACAGATTTAAACATTTTCCCTTGTATTAATATAAATACTAAATTAATATAAACACTTGGGTCTACAGTAGTTTTAAAGGAAATCTCACAAATGGGTTTGGCTTTTGAAGGTTAGCACTGATGGTCCAGAGAATTCATTTTGGTCCAGAGAGTGAAAGAGAGGAATTCATTTTGGTCCAGAGAGAGAAAGAGAAGAATTTCTCGGGTCCCTTCAGGAAGGCGTCTGGCTTTGCCTCACCTTGTATGTTTGAACTATGCATACGGCAGAAGACAGGATTTCGCAGATTTAAGGTGTGAAAAGTCACTGGGTGCTTTAAGAAGCCTGGGATTCTTCTTGGAAAAATAAGTTTGTGGAGACAAAATGAGTTGGAGAAGGCTGTTATTGAAGTGAAGCAGAATTGCTTTTAGTAATCTGCTTATTACCCTCACCCTCAGCCCCTTAACTGCTAACCCTAAACCCTAACCCCTTGACCCTAATCCTACCCCTACCGCAATCCCTCATCCTACTCTTTAGCCCTGACCCTTGACCCCAAACCCCAAACCCCAACACCAACCCTAAACTTAACCCCTAACCCTACCACTAACCTTAACCCTTTACATCTGCCCAGATTCTCCAGCAGAAGCAGGGACCCTTGGCTCCCAGCTGTGCACCACTGCATCTGGCACAGGACTCCATAGCAATCCCCAAATAGGCACCTGAATGCCCACTGTGCCAGCCATGCAGCGGAAGCCCAGGCTACAGTCTCACCTCCAGAACCAGGGCCCTGCGCCTGCATCAGGCTGCTCAGGGCTGAAGTGAGCTGGGACACCCAAGGTCTTCATAAGACCAAGGCTATCTCGTGCCTCCTGTCACAGGGTGAGATATAGACCCAGCAGCACCGCACTCCCCTCCTTCCCTCCGTGGCAGCTCGGCAACCTTCCAAGTCAGGGGCCCTTCCCTCATGACGCTCCAAGCACAAAGCACTGGACATTCACACAGTGAGGCTGCACACATTATTTTGTGTAGATGCCCACCTAGGCCACTGGGAGAAAGGGTGGTAGAGGGACCCTCATGTTGGCCTGTTGTATGCATGCTCTGGTTTAAACGACTGCAAGCCATTTATGAGAAACTCAAGCTGAAACACTACTTATTTCCAACATTTTGTCGGTAGAGGATTTACAATGTACACTCCCAAACAAGCTAGCCACAGAGCACGCTGGCTACTCCCCCTCTTAAGTCGCTCTGAGGGCCTCCGCATGAGACCTAGAATTGGAAGATTGGTGGAGAAGAACTGGGATGTTGAGGGGATACTGGATACTTGCTGGACACCAGCCTCCCCTCACCTAAGCTTACAGACAGCCCCGATCCCACCTGACGAAATCGGACATTGTAACGCACACAGCTCTCGATAGCAGGACTTACAGATGCAAAACTCTAAGGCAAAGGATTGTCTCAACTCCTTGGTGTCTCAAGGAACTAAAACACTGCCTAGCACAGGTGTACCATCAATCTTATCACTAAATATGCCTCTATATTTTATTCATTTTTGATTGTGGAAATGATGTACTAAACACAGTGGACTAAAGACCTTTGAGATCTCTTCACGGGATCCTATCTGGTGGACCCCCAGATCTGCCAACACAGAGAAGGCATCGTAAACATGTGCAGGACAGACGCCAGATAAAGCTGTCTCTCAAAGCCTGGCAGTCACAGGAACGGCCACGTGGGGTCTGGCCGGTACGAGGAGTCAAGCTTTCGGCTTCAGGCACCCCACCTAACCCACAAAACCAAGTTGTGCCTAACAAACAACAATCAGCTAGCCTACTCTCCCTAATGAAAGGTTCTCCCGGGGGCCTGAAAGCTTGGGGGATAACTCCTCCCTTCTCAGGCTCGGTCCCAAGGTACAAGACCACTTGCACCAGCAGCGTGGGTCAGCAAGAGAGCAGAAGCCAGAAAAGGGCAGGCTGGAAGACAAGTACCCACTGAAGATCAAGAGAGAGGCCGTCTACGTCCCACGTAGCACTTACATCAGACTGGGACACTTCCCATTTACAGAAGACTATAAAAACCCCACCTTGCCCTCACTTGGGGCTGACACCGTTTTAGGCCTCAGCCAGTCTGCAACCAGGCGCTCATGAAAACAGCATGTTGCTCCACACCACCTTGAGCTGTTTGCTTGCGCTCTCAGGGTTCGAACCAACAATAGAGCCTTGCGCCTAATATCCCAGGTGGCAATCCAAGAGTGATATCTGCATGACACCCTTCCTCCTTCACCCTCCATATCCAAGCAATCACCAAGGCTACAAGCCGGCCAGGCAAGGTAGCTCACGCCTGTAAGCCCAGTACTTTAGGCAGCCGAGGCATGTGGATCACCTGAGGTCAGGAGTTCGAGACTGGCCTGGCCAACATTGGAAAACCCTGTCTTTACTAGAAATTCAAAAATTAGCCAGGCGTGGTGGCAGGTGCTGGTAATCCCAAGCTACTTGGGAGGCTGAGGCAGGAGAATCACTTGAACCTGGGAGGCACAGGATGCAGTGATTCGAGATCACACCATTTCCCTCCATCCTGGGCAACAGAGCAAGACTCTGTCTCAAAAAAAAAGAAAACAAAAGAATTAGTATAGTTTTGTCACCAGCAAAGGGGTCCTGTCCCAGACCCCAACAACAGGATTTTGGATCTCACACGAAATGGAATTTATGGTGAGTCACAGAGTCTAGTGACATTAAGAGAGTTTATTAGCCACTGCTAAGTGACAGAGCAAGGAGTGCTCAGAAAGCAAGAGGAGGGATGCACCTGTTTCAAAGAAAAAAAAAAATTTGAGACAGAGTTTTACTCTAGTCACAATGACATGATCTCAGCTCCCTACAACCTCTGCTTCTTGGGTTTAAGGATTCTCCTGCCTCAACCTCCCAAGTAGCTGGGATTACAGGTGTGCACCACCACGCCCGGCTAATTTTTTTTGTATTTCTATTTCATTTTATTTTTTTTATTTATTTTATTCCATCCCCATAGAGACTGCCAAAAATTGCCAATGCTGACTATATTTCCAGTCATCAGGGCAGGGTATTGGGAAAAGTCTTCAATTAGCAATAATTGCGCCTTGGATAAACCTCATTGACTACAATACTGCCACTGGGCAAGGCTATATTTTTGTATTTTTACTAGAGATTGGGTTTCACCATGCTGGCCATGCTGCTGTTCAACTCCTGGCCTCAAGTGATCTGCCCTCCTCGGTCTCCCAGCGTGCTGGGATTAAGTAATCACACCTGTGACCCCAGCACATTAACGTACAAATAGGATTACTTAATGTTTGTTTATATAGGTTATTAAGAACAGTGTTGTCTCTTTTTTTTTTTTTTTTTTTTTTGAGACGGAGTTTCACTCATGTTACCCAAGCTGGAGTGCAATGGCGGGATCTCGGCTCACCGCAACCTCCGCCTCCTGGGTTCAGGCAATTCTCCTGCCTCAGCCTCCTGAGTAGCTGGGATTACAGGCACGCGCCACCATGCCCAGCTAATTTTTTGTATTTTTAGTAGAGACGGGGTTTCACCATGTTGACCAGGATGGTCTCGATCTCTTGACCTCGTGATCCACCCGCCTCGGCCTCCCAAAGTGCTGGGATTACAGGCTTGAGCCACCGCGCCCGGCTTAGTGTTGTCTCTTATAAAGGATTGTGATCAGTTTGTGTCAGGCTATTAGTATTGTTACTTTTCTATGTCACTATTGATTTTAACAATAATTTAGGAGTGTACTAATATCTTTAAAGTAAAACTTCTTTTTAAATTAAGAATGCTTCTTGCTTAAAGTACTGGTATATATTTATAAGTTTCGGATCTTTATTTAGTTATTAACTTGTTCCTGCAACCTTAAATATTTTATAACCAAAGGTGATCAATCCCTAAATATATAATCCAACAAATTTAACGTGTGTGTGTGTGAGAGAGAGAGAGAGAGAGAGAGAGAGAGTGAGAGAGAGAGAGAGAGAGAGAGAGACAGGATCTGACTCTGTCTCCCATGCTTGAGTGCAGTGACGCAATCATGGCTGGCTCACTGCGGCCTCAAACTCCTGGGCTCAAGCTATCCTCCCACCTCAGCCTCCTGGGTAGCTGGGACCACATGCGCGCGCCACCACGCCAGCTAATTTTTATATTTTTTGTAGACATGGGGGTCTCACTGTTTTCCCAGACTGGTCTTGAACTCCTGATCTCAAGTGATCCTCCCGCCTTGGCCTTCCAGAGTGCTGGGGTGACACTCGTGAGCCCTGCACCCTGCCCAGATTTAGCTTTTTCTAAAGCTTTTATTTAAAATAAAGTCACTGTGGTTAAGATGCCTCTGACGGTTTTGCATTTTAAGTGCAAAGACTATGTTGAGTGAATTTTTCCATCAGCTGTAAAATGTGCATCCATGTTTATTTCATTCCTATGGTTTCCAATTAATTGTCCGTTCACCTTTTTGGAAACACACGGGCTAGTGGGCTCCGTGTCAGTTTGCATTTCCAGAACCATGGCGCTGAACACTCTGCGCTCCGACTTCAAGTGGTGCAGCGGGACGGCCACCAGAGGGCGCGCGTCCTCCGCTAGCGCTGTGAGCGCGAGGGTCCTGCAGTGCCTCCAGCCACAAGCAGAGGGCGCGCTGGAGCAGGCAGCATAACTGCCTAAGGGCCAAGCTCCTCTAACAATCAGAAGCCTGGCTTTACAGAGGCTTACAACTCCAGATATGACACGTGAAAGGGTCTTGGGGTTTACAGTTCTAGAAATTACATGTGAAAGGGTCTTGGTGCATGGAGTAGGCGTGGGGTGGGGGCTTGAACTCGTTTAAGTTAAAACAACGCCTTCCAGAAAGATTCCCCCAGGCTATGCCTGCGATCTATAAAGTGGCCTGCGGTCACCTAACCTTTACTTCTATTGAAATGCAGTGTGCAAGTCAAGGGGGAAGTCATCTTAGATGCTTAGGTCTCCTTCCTCACCAGGTCACCTCCTCCCTGCACACGGCCACTCTCCCACCTGGGCTACTTTCCAGTCTCACTCACAATCGCTCTGAACGACTGTGGAAAGAGGACAGCTGTGGAGCCTCTCCCTTGTCCAAGTCACTCTGCTGAGAGACCTGATAACTCATCTCACTGAACCCTGGACCGCCCTGGAAAGAATATCTCTGCCCCTTTATTTCAGACAAAGACTATGAGGCGGTCAGGCACGGTGGCTCACACCTGTAATCTCAGCACTTTGGGAGACCAAGGCAGGTGGATCATGAGGTCAGGAGATCAAGACCAGCCTGGCAAAGATGGAGAAACATCATCTCCACTAAAAACACAAAAATTTGCCGGGCATGGTGGCAGGCACCTATAATTCCAGCTATTCGGAAGACTGAGGCAGGGAATTGCTTGAACCCGCTGTCAGGTCTCCATATCCAAACCTGGAGCCTGAAAGTCTGAAGTCCTGCTTGCCTCCTCATTGTCTCCCAGCCCCTGCCTGCGTTGGCCATGGTCCCTGAGCACCCAGCAGAGCTTCCCCAGAGATGGACCCTTACCCAACCCTGCCATCTCAACTGTTCTTATGATAATGTGAATACCTCTCACCTATTCTGTCATCTTAACTCTTCTTCTGCCTCACCCCCAGCCGCCACTGTAACTGAACGTGTGGTCATGTACACACCTGGCCCTACCCACTGCTGTAACTGATCTTACTCTGTAACTTTCCACTGCCCACCCCAAACCTGTAAAACCAACTCCTATCCCACTGCGCTTTGCTAACGTCCTTTTCTGGGCCTTAGCAAAGGGCAGTGGAATAGGAGTTGACCTGCACTGAGGTGAATAAAGAGCCACTTTGCTCACACAAAGCCTGTCTGGGGTGGGGGAGGGGGTCTCTTCATTCAAAGCGTGAATTTTCAACATTTTGGTACCAAAACCCAGGATAGGGGGACTCCTACAGGAGACCAAACCCCCGTCCCTGCTCTTGTGCTCCCTCCATGAAGAGATCGACCTACCGACCCAGGTCATCAGGCCAGCCCACACACACACCACCGGCTGTTTTGGTAAGCAGTCTCTCTTTTTTGTCTTCCCATTCTTTTATCTTTTCCTTTCCACTTCCTCCCCCTTTCAGTTTCCTCATTTTTCCACCACAAACACAAGGAAAATCCGGTAAACCAGGTTCTTCCGTGAGGTTTGGGACCCGAAAAACCCCATGTAGGTCATGGATCCTGGGACCCAGCTTCCCCAGGGGCTTGACTATCATGGAGACATTCACCCTAGTCACTCGCCGACCAGGCTCAGGGCCGATATTGGTGGCAGGTCAACATACAGGACGCTCTCTTTGACTGCTCACCAATGACAAGGTTCAACCCAGGCTCACCGAGGGACGCCTGTTGAGCGGCTGGGTTGCGTGCCTATTCTCCTTGTCTCTGCTGCCTTTCCAGAACCACGGGAAATCGTTCATCCTCTATCCCTCCTTCCTCTCCGCTGGCCTGTGTTCTAAAGAACCTCAAACATCTCCAACTGTCCCCTAACCTAAAACCCAAACGTCTCTGTAAACACTGCGTTCTCTTTACTGGGCCACTGTGTGGTCACAATACAAGTTAAACAATGGCTCCGATTGGCCAAAAATGGCAGCTTTCACCTCTATTTTATAAAATTAAGACAATTTTTGTCACAACATGGTCAAATGGTCTGAAATTCCCTACTTCCAGGCATTTTTTTTACACACCAATCCCTCCCTAATCTCTACCACTTCTCTTCGCTTCCGTCTGCCCCTCCTTCCTCTGCGGGTAAGCCAGAACCCTCCCTGTCCATCAACCTTCTCCTTTCTCCTTCCCGTCTGTCTGAACCAGGCCTTAATCCAGGACCTAACCCCACCCCAGAGCCTTCCCCCTATTCCTCTGCCCACAACCCACCTCCTCATGCCCCCGCTTTCACCTCCCACATTGTACGCGGCCCAGCTTACAGTTTAGTCCTGTGGCTAATTCCTCTGCCCCTGCCCGGCAATACCCCTTCCAGAGGTGACTGGAGCCAAAGGCATAGTTAGGGTGACGTTCCTTCCCTTTATCCGACCTTTCCCAAATCGACTACCGGTTAGTCTGCTTTTCATCAGATCCTCCAACAATTCACCCAGTCCTGTAACCTCACCTGGACTGACTTAAGTGTCATCCTTACTTCCACTCTCACCCCTAAAAAACGCTTAATATGCATTTTATCATCCAGTCAACCCCAGCATTACAAAAAGGTACAAAAATTAAAATCTGGCCCTCAAATCCCACTACAGGAATTAGGCAACCTTACCTTCAAGGTGTTCAATAACAGGGAGAAATCTGCCCAGCGGTAGCGTATCTCAGAACTACAGATGATAGCCTCTTCCGTAAGACAAACCCCAGCCACACCACCGGCTCACAGAGACTTCAGAGCACCCAGGCTGCAGGATGTACCTGCCCCTCCCGGACCTTGCTTCACGTGTTGGAAACCTGGCCACTGGGCCAAGGAATGCCCGCAGCCCGGGACTTCTGCTGAGCCCTGCCCTGTCTGTGCGGGGCCCCCACCGAAAGTCGACTGTCCAACTCAGGTCGCTGCTCCCAGAGTTCCTGAAGCTCCAACCCTCAGCTTGGCGGTTAAAGACTGACGCTGCCCGAGCATCTTGGAAGCCCCCTGGACCATCACAGATGCCAAACTTCTGGTAACTCTTACGTGGAGGGCAAGTCCATCCCCTTTTTAATCAGCATGGAGGCACCCATCCCATGCTGTCTTCTTTTCAAGGACCTGTCTCCTTGGCCACCATGCTGTGTGGGAATTGACGGCCAGGCCTCCAGGCCTATCAAAACTCCCCACGTCTGGTGTCAATCAGGCCAGCACTCCCTTCCACGTTCTTTCCTAATCATCCCCACCTGTCCAGTTCCCCTGTTGGGCCGGGATATCCTAGCGAAATTGTGTGCCTCCTTGACTGTTCCTGGGCTACAGTCACACCTCATTGCTGCCCTCCTCCCCAAACCTGTACCTCCCTTCATAGCTCCCCTTATGTTCCCCAACCTTAAGCCTAGGGTGTAAAACACCACCTTCCCATCCATTGCTACAAGTCACTCACCCCTCCTCATCCCCTTAGAACCTAACCAACCTTACCCTGCCCAGCCCCATACCCCATCCCACAGCAGCCTTTAAAAGTAAA